ACACGTCTGCAAATTACGCGGCGGCTCCGGTGAAATAATACCGGTCAATTGTCAGTCAGCGGCACCTTAACGTTTCAAAATATTTTGCTGCCTATGAATGGAATTTCTTTTTTTTTTTCCTGTTTCAAGCTGTCATCATAAAACCTTTACTTATAGCCTACAGTCAATGTTTGAAGTATCATTATAATACGTTGGCTGTCATACAAGTGTAAAATGGAGTTAATTATTAATACTATATATAACATATGAATAATTGCACAATGCATTGAGTACCGGTACACACTATTTCATCTTCTATGACTAATTGCTCACTGTGGCCGTAGTGTACACAGTAAATTTCATAGAGTACATTTTACTCCAAAAAGACTATATTTGGTCCCAGTCAAAACAGTCAAATTAATTTACCTTTAACGCAGAGAGCGTTCCAGACTTTTTTTTTTTTTTTTTTTTTTGAAGGAGACATTCGTTTGGGAGGACGACGTAAAAAAATAAATTAAAAACATCTTCAAATAGGATTTAGGGACTTTCATTTTCTCAATTACAATTGATAACAGGTGTTGATTAGATGGAGGCATCAATGTGAGAGAAGACTATGAAACCATTTCCTCAGATACTAGCCTGGGGCCTTAATTGACTCAATTGCAGAGAGTACCTGATGACTTGTTAAAAGAGTCATCCGTTTGAGAGGAGGTCTTTGGAATATTTCCTGAAATAGAGTGTAAGGGCTTTTATTTTATTAACTGCCGACGATGGCAGGTGTTTATTTGATGGGGCTGCCTCTCTCCTCAAACAGCAGGAAGGGGATTTTATTTGCCTGGCTACAAGGAATGCCATGTGATTATTTGATTGAGTCATCAATTTGGAACGAGGTCTTTACAGTGTTTCCTTAAAGGGGGCGTCAACCCCCCCCCCCCAAAAAAAAGATCTTTACAATAATACGTTCTATGCAGCGATATGGAACACAGTATCCTGATTAGTATTGCGTTTGTCGGATATGAAGTCTGTTGATCATCACAATTTGTTCAGTAAAACATACTGTCCTGTCTCTTGCTACAAGGGCCGCTAATTTTTATCCGAATGTTCAACCGTCAGCTTTTTTAATAACATTACCATCGATGTAACAA